CTGTAAAGAGCTTTGTTTCTGCAGATGAGAGGTACTGAGCCAGGTCAGAGGTGGCCCAGCTGCCAAGCAAATAAGCCCTGCAAGAATCCAAAGGGACTACAGACCAAGCACTAAGCCTGAAACAGTAAGTTCTGCCAGATCTGAGCCAAGTGAGACATATGTACACAAGAGACTCATTTGAGAAGGGCAATACAAGCACACTTCAGTTCTGGCCAGGGCTGGCTCAGCCCAGCAGACCTATTACCTCAGAACCAGTTCCAGGCAAATATTGCTGTGCATTGCTGACCAAATCTGGATCTGTGTATCCATACTCTGCCTGATCTAAGCAAGAAAAGGGTCTGGATGCCCCTAATTTGGTTTCACAGTGACCACTTACGGTTCAGAACTATAAAGCAGCACTAATATTATGTGATATTTTCCCCCCATTCTCCAGTGTATCCTAGCCACAACTATTCCAGCCAGTCAGATGGAATCTCAGCATAATCTCCAAACTCTAGTCAGGCCATCCATTGATGGTGGAAAGTTGACTGTGCATTAATGGCAAGAACCATGACCTCTTCCTTCAATCATGTCCTCAAATAAGACTGAATCACGGGGCCTTTACAAAAGGACTAGTTAAACACACCAGCTCCAAAAGAAGATTCCAGAACACATATCCCCAGAACTGCCTTGCACAAAGAAATTTCAGACACATCTCTTCTCCTCAGCGTTTTCAATTGCTAAGCCCAGCCAGCCTGTACAGTGGTTATTCAGGTTTAAGGTGTCTGTCTTTGGTACATTTTATATGAAACATAATTGAGCATTTGGATTTCAGCCTGAGGTAAGAACCTAGAGGTCATTATGCCAACGTTGAGGCCCCTTAGTGAGGTTCAGCATTTAGTTTCTGTTCTTGCTTTTTCTCTGCAGAAGAAGAATGACAGTGTATTTATACTCACAGCATCCCAGTAAGGAAGGGAAGTATTTAAATTGACAAAATACCCAAGTATTTTAGCAAAGAAAGTGGAAAGCTGAGAGGTCATACAAAGTTTTTGACTGAATGAGTATTAATGATTATTTTGCTCTTTCATCTACAGATGCTTTCTCAGTTCACATAAACATCGAAGACCTCATCTGAAAATAAAAAAAAATAAAACCTTTAACATGCATTTTGCAATCAAGAATCAAGGAGGAACACAGACGTTATGAATAAGCCATTGTCACAGCCAGTCTGCTGGCACTGCAGTCTGAGAGACTGACTGGCACTTGTATGGCACTGCTCAAAAGCAACAGGCCATCAACCACCCCATGGGGAAGTGCAGCTTGTTGAGAAACAAAAAATCATTCTGTTCAGTTTTGGTTTGGCATACACATCACTTTCTACACTGCTTTATGTTACTAAAAAGGTGAAAGTATTTGCTTGAAACAATTACATCTTAGTGAAGTTTTAAAAACTTCAAAGCAATAATTAGGAAACTTTACCTTCTCCAGACTATTACTGATGAAAATAACTTTTGCTTATGAGTAAGCATCAGTATTTGGTGCCTTGGTTCATGCCTCACTTTTAAAATTATTCTTTTCTTTATTTCTCAGGACAATTTATGTTCATATCTGGCTCTAGAGTTATTATATACATCACATACAGTAAAGAGGTATGTGATATTCCCATGAAAAGCACACAGTTTGCATTATACCTGCACCTGCAACTCCTGCCGAGATATTACAGCCATTTGTACCAATATGGGAACTTAGATAAAGTACATTCATTGTTTCTGTCTACTCTGATTTTATAATCCTTGCCTGTGAGAAAACTAAGCAGAAATACTTAAAACTCCCCCAAACATCTGGGTGCGTTATGGTCAGCAGCAAAACTTTAGATTTCACCTGCTCTTATGCAAGCATAGGATGACATGCAGGAATTCACTGAAATAATCCAAAATTTAAGCAGGGCTGGACTCTGCTGGAAACAGACACCTGGAGTCTACTTCCCTTGTGCATTGAAGCTCGTGGGGTAATTCACACTGCTGCAAATCAAAGTTGCTGCAAAACGTTATCAAACAGCCCTGATGTCCTGCACACATTCCACTGGTGCCTATGAAAGTGCAAGGCAGAGAAAAGTAAGACCTGGAGAGTTGTCAGTCTAAATTTCCTTCCCCTTATCCTCCAGGCTTCTTGAGGATTTCACGGATTTGGCTTTATTTCCTTATGCTTGTCAGATCCTGAGGCTTTCAGATACCAGCAGGATTTCCAGTGCACGTTACCTGCAGTTCTCACGATCGGTCCCCATCAGCCTATCAGCATGGTAAAGGTGGGTCCTCTCTCCAAGCCTCACATGCCACAATCCTCTGTACCATGGCACACATTTCCTGACAGCATCACCAGGAATTCTTCTGTCTTGAAGAAATAATGAAGAAAAATAAAGCAACCAAATGCTGTGTTAGTTTCTGGCTTGCTGATCAGCCACAAGCAGCTCTTGTGCAGTGAGCAGGATCTGGCTTAAAGTGTCAATTATCACACGGAATCAATTAATACATGAATACAATGAATCATTACTACAAAATTAAGTACAAGCAGGAGCTAAATGAAGATCCTTTGGCACAATAATTCCAGATTTTCTGAAACACTTTTCCCATCTGCAATAAATTCCTCCTTTTCCTCGAACAGCTCTACCTTGAGTATTAGTGCCACATACTGGAAATCATGACAGCATACTAACTTTAAAAGATTCCATAATACAAAACCAAGGTGCACTGACTTTATGATGCATAGTTAATGAAACCACAGCATTTAAATGCTAGCATCAGTATAGTGTACTTGTAGTGTACTATAACTTATATAAAAAAATTAATTTCTTAATTGCATGATAAAACTATGAAGCTTGCTCAATAAAGAACCAGAGAGTCAGACTGTATCAAATTAAATCCCTCAGTCTTGAGAGTCAGTAAATCAAATCACCTCCTTGTAACCATCATAATTGTGCTCGAAAACCCCCACAACTGGTTGCCCCTTGAAACTCTTGGATTTTACTATTTTTCCAATGTTTTCACACCCTCCCCCTTAAAAGGGAACTGCTGGTCACCAGCCCAGCATTAACTGAAGCATGTTGGGAGCTGCAGTCCAAACACACACATCCAGGCTGATTTTCTCCTTCACCAGCATAAATTTTGCTGACATTTCCAATAATTAGATCTATTTTCAACAGCTTTACAAATTTCCTGCATAAAACTACTGGGTACACGAAATGTCAATTTTGTCTCTCTTCTTACCTCCCTGATTAAACTCAGTGTAAATAAGGAGATAGAACTGAAATTTAAGTCACAACTTAGACAAAAAACAAAGCTTTGTAGGAAGTTCTGAACTCCCTATCAAAATAAGACAAAGCGAGCTCACACCACTAATTTTTGTCTTCTGACGAAAATTTAAGAAACACTTTTTTTGTTATTTACAGTCCAATAATTAATTGCTATTAAGATCACCCATTATGCTATGTAGCATTTTATAGGCAAACGTAAGGGTAATAAATAAAATATTCTATTATGCTGACTAAATCTAGTCACTTGGAGATCCTTATTAAGATATTAATAATAAGAAATAAGAAATCTTATGTGAACTTTAAAAGAACACTCAGCTCCCCAGCCCCTCCAAAAAACCACTCATTTCATATAAGAATTGAAGAAGGTGCATACCAGGAACACTTTCCCTTTAAGCCAATTCCCCTCCAGCTAGAATTTTAGTCTTCTCTAATGCTAACTGCTGGTTTTGTCTGAGGTCTCTTTCGTTTTCTTGAATTCCTGCATCTTTACGGTTTCCCTTCTCTGGCTGTTCTGGCTGAACACCAGGTTTGGCTGAGCACGCCGACATCAAACAAGGCGATGTGAAAGCCTAATTACAAGTTCAGCTGAGAAACTGGCAGCTGAGCTGGCAGATCTGAACCGCCCAGCCCTGCAGGCACAGCAGCCTCAGGGATCGAGGGCTGTGCCCCAAACGAGAAAGGAACAACACAACGTGCGGGTATCAAGATGTACTTCATACACATTTCATTCTCAGTGCAAGAGCCCAACACATCAGTGACAGCAGCGGGGGAATCACAAAATCACAGAATCAATTCGGTTGGAAAAGTCCTCTGATATCGAGTCCAACCTACGACCCAACACCACGACAAGCAGACCATGGCACTAAGAGCCACATCCCGTGTTTCCTCAAACACCTCCAGAAGCAGTGACTCCACCACCTTCCTGGATAGCCCATTCCAATGTCTAATCACTCTTTCTATGATGAAAATCTTTCTACTGTTCAACTTAAACGTCCCCTGGGGCAGCTTGGGACTATGTCCTCTCGTCTCGGCTGTGGTGGTGGCTTATCCCCGAGGCTCTGCTCGGTGGTGCCCAGCAATAAGACAAGACGCAAAGGGCAGAAACTGATGCACAGGAAGTTCCACCTGAACATAAGGAAGAGCTTCGTTACCGTGCAGTAACTGCGCGCTGGAGCAGGTTACCCAGCGAGGGTGTGGAGTCTCCCTCACTCTGGGAGATATCCCAGAACCGCCTGGACGCAATCTTGTGCCACGTGCTCTGGGACGACCGTGCCTGAGCATGGAGGTTTGGGCCAGGTGACCCACTGTATTCCCTTCCACCCTCATCTATTCTAAGACTCCGTGATTCCCCTCCACCGTCCCCACCTCACCCATCTCTCCCCGCAGCCCCTCCCTCCCCCGCCCGGCCTCTCCCAGCTCCCCTGCCCGCCCTCCCCATCCCGCTCCGGATTGGCTCTCCTTGGGAACAGCCGCCTCCATCGGCGGCGATTGGCCCGCTGTGCCCGCGCGGGGCTGCCATTGGCGGGCGGTCGCGGCGCTGCGGGTCGGGCCGGGGCCGCAGGCGGGAGCCGCGGCCGGGGCGCTTTTTGTTGCGGGTCGGCGGCGAGAGGAGCGGGCGGGGAGCGCGGGCCGCGGACATCGGGGCCCGGCGGCGTAGCGGGGGCCGGCGGGCGGCGCGGTTGCGGGCGCGGCGAACGGCGGGGCCGGCCCAGCCCAGCGTGCAGCCATGAGGCGGCGCGTGTACGGGGGAGGTGAGTCCGGCGCCGCCCTCCCCTCCCCCGCCCCGCGAGGCGGCGCGTGCGGCTCCCGCGGGGCGCTTCCCGCCTCCCTGAGCCCGGCCAGGAGCCTCTCACGGCCCCTCCGCGTCCCACCGTGAGGGGGAGCCGGCAGCGGGGGCCTTGTTTGGGTCCTCCTGGGCCGAGGTGCCCCTCCCCCGGGACGGCCCGGGCCGCGGCCTGGGGCAGGATCGGCGATACCGGGGGCCGGGGAGGGTCTCGGTGCTTCGGGACCCGGGTGCGGGTCCCCCCGTGGGCTCTGGGGTCCGGGGGATGGTTTCAGACAGGTTTTTGCCTTAGGAAGCTCAGAGCTCAGCGGGGATCGGGGCCCGCAGGGATGAGGGCGCTTCGTGCTGTGGCCCCTCCACTCGGACGGTCGCTGCTTCCAGTCCCACCTTCCTCATCCCGATCCCCCCGGGAGCTCCGCGCTCGCCCGGCTTCGAGTGGCCGCTAAGTTAGAACTTTTTGAAAGCTTTTTCTTGTGATCTGTTTAGATGCAACCACGTTCGCCCTCGTCTGTTAAAATTCCCCTTTTACTCACACGAGAGGAAGGGGTTGCAGTCAAAGCCTGTCTGCAGCCCTCCGGTAGCTCTCTGGTAACTGGAGTTCTGAGCGGAGAAGTTTCTCCTTGCCTCGATCCCTTGGCTTTTCTGCTTTTGCAAGCAAAGCAGGCAGTGGGCAGGGAAAGGTCAGGGTTGCAGAAGAGTGCAATAACCATTCACCATTTATTAACAATCTTTTCAGATGAAGTTGGGGCTCTGGTGTTTGACATTGGCTCGTACACTGTCAGAGCAGGCTATGCAGGCGAGGACTGTCCAAAGGTGAGAGTCTGTGTGCCTCGATGGAAATACAATATGAATTTATGCCTTGGGTCTTGTTTGTGAGTTCCAGCTTTTCAGAATACACTGGGTTTTGTTATAACTGGGTTGTATAAGGAAACCTCTGAATTTATGAGGAAAAAAACCAACATCCAAAACATTATGAATCCTCTTGTACTGCTTGCCTTTTGCCTTACAGGTTGATTTTCCAACAGCCATTGGCGTAGTGCTGGAAAGAGACAATGGCAGCACTCTGATGGAGATAGATGGTGACAAAGGCAAACAAGGGGGCCCAACTTACTACATAGACACCAATGCCCTGAGAGTCCCGAGGGAGAATATGGAGGCCATTTCACCTTTAAAAAATGGAATGAGTATGGTGCTCTGTCTTTTTCTACCTGATTTTAAAATAGCATTGCCAGGCTGCAGAAGGTCATAGCTTTCATGTCAACAAGCTGTAAGAACAGATACCTGATTTACAAATTGCATGGAATATGGTTGGTTTTCACTGTTAGTGGACTTTCACCATAATTCTTGAAGTCTTGGTAGTTGCAAAGGAAGAGGATTATGCAGAGCTGTTAAAAGAGGTTTATGTCTGGTGAGATAGCTTTTGACTAAAGAGCTCTGTGCAAAAAAAAAAAAAAAAATGGAAAACCTCTATGTACTTATGAAATAAACCAAAACTTGGATGTAACTAATCTGGTTGCCTCAATCTTGTTACAGTTGAAGACTGGGATAGTTTCCAGGCAATACTGGATCACACTTACAAGATGCACATTAAATCTGAAGCAAGTTTGCATCCTGTCCTTATGTCTGAAGCACCAGTGAGTAAAAGGAGCTTTGCATTTTGATAAGTCTTTTTTGATGACTCTACAAACATTAGTCTTGGATAAGTCTGACATTGGCTTTTAGGTGACAAGTTTTAAATCCTAGCTATAGAAATGACAATTTTAAAATACTTTGCCAGATTCTGGAAAAAAACCAAACCAATTTGAAAAGGTTTATATGAGTTGTATTAGAAAGTATTTGCAATATGCTATTGTTTCTTACTTATTGAAAAGAAGTCAAAAATCTAAAAAAAAAATTTACTGCCTAGAATAAAAGGAAAAAGATGTTTGGACGTGTTATATATAAGTTACACATAATAAAATGCTGTTGAAAATCTGCTTCATTCAGCCTTACAAACTACTATTACATGACACAGAATAGCATTTATAATGGAGAAGTTTTAATTTTTCTGTCTTTGTTTCTGTAAGTGATCTTGTAAGGCAACTGAAGTGGACGAATGCAAATTTCTGGGAAAATCAGTGGACAAGGTTTCTGTCATTTAATAATGCTCAGCATTTAAAGGGCAGATCTTGAAATCAGAGTAGAAAAGGTAGAAATGCCATACACAAGTTATACCTTTCTTTAATAAAATCTTATGAAAAGGATTTTCTTTTTCGTTATTCCCTTGTGTTGAATTGCAGCTTGTGGAGTGTAGATGAATTTGCAATGGCTGTTTCATGTTTGGTGGCTCAGTGGGTGTCTGAGTAGAGGTTCCCCTTAACATTCTCCTTACAGACCTGATCTTACTGTATTGGCTTGGGAAAAACGTTTTCGGTAATGTGTTGAATATTTGAGCTGTATCCTGGCTTAATCACCGACAGTAGAACTGTAGAAAGATACCTTGGAAACTGGAAAATCTGGATTTATTTTTCTTCCCACTGGGCAAGTTACTTCATGTAGCTTTCCCCTTGGGAATGGGCATGGTACTTGTTTTAGAGAGTTCTTTCAGAGGCTGATACTGTAAGAGCTGTAGAAGTATAAAGAAATCTCTGTTGTAACAGGAAAGGTGTGTATCACTTTTGTGTGATAGATAAGCATTAATTTCTTATAGTATAATTGGAATAAAAAAGGTTATAAAGAAGTAAACTGCTAGAAATCTATCTTTTGATCTGATTTGAAACTGTCTGCCGTTCTTCTAATGTGTTAGCAACCTGTTACTGTGTAAACACATCTTCTTTTTGGCCACTTATTTGTGGTTTGGATTTATTATTTTTTAGTGGAATACTAGAGCAAAGCGTGAAAAACTGACGGAGTTGATGTTTGAGCACTACAACATCCCTGCTTTTTTCCTGTGTAAAACTGCCGTTCTAACAGCGTATCCTTCGAAATGTTTCACTGCATGGGTTTTTTTTCCTCCCCCCAGGAAATTATGGCAAACCTATTCTAGGCAATTCTGGGTATAACAGCATGTCTGACTTCTTTCAGATTGATTTTTCCATAAACATCTAGGGAGGAAGTAAACAAATTCCGTTTCTGAACTTTAAAGCATTAGAGCTCATTTTTGAAGTTCTCCCAGTCTGACTGTTTTCCTTGGAGGCCAAGTCTTTTTTTTTATTATTATTATTTTATTTTCCATTGTATACCATGGATAAGAATATTACAGACCTGAAATGGTGTTGTCCACACTACTAAATACAGTAATTAGAGCTTGAAGTTCCCATAGCCTTAAGAAGAATATTTGTAATTGTTTTAAACTAATAATGTATTTTCAGCTTCAGAGTCTAAATGAGCTGAATGTACTTAGAGCTTTCTGCATAGTGTTAATGTGAAATCTCACCTTTGTACATCTGAAGCTTAAGTTAATTCACAGATGGAAGGTAAATGCTGCTTTCTCTATAAGGTTGTGCACTTCACAGAAAGATGGTACACACTGGAAAATGACAAATCCTTTTGCAGAGCCAAGGAGTAACACATTGGGGTCCTCATTCCTAGTTATGTTCTAACTGTATGGCGACATTTTTTTCTGAAGTGAAAATTACAATGTTTTCCTTAATCATTTTGGCTAGCTTTGCTAATGGGAGATCTACAGGTCTCATTTTGGATAGTGGAGCAACACACACCACTGCTATTCCAGTGCATGATGGATATGTGCTTCAGCAAGGTAAAAACTTTCATGGGTAACAGCATTTGCAGTATCAAGGTTGAATTAGCTTGATTTCAGCTTGTAGCTTTGTTGTTTTAAAATCTATGTATCCCCTTAAGCAGGGAAAAAAACCCTGGTGTTCACTGACAAATAGTTGTGGGATTTTATTAATGATTTTAGTACTTTCTGGGTTAGTGGGGGTTTTGTGTGGTTTAGTTTTTTTTTTTTTAATTTATTTTGAATCCCCTTTTTGTTCTCTAGGTATTGTAAAATCACCACTTGCAGGAGACTTTATTACTATGCAGTGCCGGGAATTGTTTCAGGAAATGAACATAGAGATAATTCCTCCCTATATGATTGCTTCAAAGGTGGGAAAGTAGCTTTATTTACTAAGTGTTTTCTTGGGGAGAGACTTAAATGTTTAACTGATGATCATTTATCCTACAATCCCAGGAGGCAGTTCGTGAGGGGTCCCCTGCAAATTGGAAGAGAAAAGAGAAGTTACCCCAGGTCACCAGGTCTTGGCACAACTACATGTGCAATGTAAGTAGATCATTCCTCCTGTTCTCAGCTCCCCTAAATAAATAAACAAAATAAATAAACATAAATAAGTTTTGTTTGCAAGTATATCAGGATTTTCTGCTGAAGGACTAGAAAAATCTTTAAAAAGTATCAATTCTGTAAATTCCATAAAATTGAATACTGAAATTCTTATAACCATATTATTCTTAATTCCATAGTGTGTCATTCAGGACTTCCAAGCTTCTGTCCTCCAAGTATCAGATTCAACCTATGATGAACAGTACGTTACTTTTTTCCTTCTTGTGAATTTAGTTACCATTTGTGCATGGGGTGCTCAGCCATTGCTGTTGGCTGGTTTTGTTGTGGAAGAAAATTATCCAAGAACTGTTCATTTATAAAAGTAGGGATACAACATACATCCAGGTGATAGCTTTTTATTTAATATTCCAAGATGAGATCATTATTATTGAAAGTGTAAGTCTTATCAATCACAATATTCCCATTGGAAATTTAGTTTGTAACACTGCTTAGATAACCTGACAGCCTGTTCACAGAGCACTTTAATGTGTTGCCTTCTCACTGTGCTCCAGGGTGGCAGCACAGATGCCAACAGTTCATTATGAGTTCCCCAACGGCTACAACTGTGACTTCGGTGCGGAGCGTCTGAAAATTCCCGAGGGATTGTTTGACCCTTCCAATGTAAAGGTAAAACCACAGAGATAGGTGTAATTGGAAGGCTTTGCATTGCTAGGTTCTCACTTGTCTTCCTTTTGTATGATGTTCTTAATTTCATGATATGGATGTGTGTATTTGCACTGTGGGGTTCTCTTGGGGGTGGGATTTCTCTGTCTTGTTAGGACTGGGCAAGTGAGGGATGAAATGTTCTAAGGGGTGGTGATAAGCTGAATGGGCAAATAGCAGTGTTTTTTTTTCCTTCTCTAAAAAAATGCTTGGCTCCCTCTCTAGTGATACTTGTAACTCCAGCTCATCAGGGCTTTTCTATGCCTTGCTCTTCTGAAGAGATGATGTGTGGATTCCTAATTCTCCTTGCAGGGTTTGTCTGGTAACACGATGTTGGGTGTGAGCCACGTTGTCACAACAAGCGTTGGAATGTGTGATATCGACATCAGGCCGGTGAGTGTTAGTCAGCCTGGCAGTATTTTAAGGCACAGATATTTCTGTGCTGATTTGTATTTTTGGGACTAGAACATTGTTGATGAAGAAATGTGGATTTACTAGGATAATGATAAATACATCAGAATAATTCTGTAAGTATCACATATTTTTATATTGGCATATGCACCATTACTGTTTTTTCTTACAAAATGCTAAATCAGGATTTTTTTTACTTAGTGTTTCTATCTATATTTAAATGTCTAATGTGCAGATTTTGTGGCTGGCACTGCATAATGTGCCCTGGACTGGCTTCAGATGAGCATTTTATGTTCATAACTTTGACTGTTACCTTCAGATTTTTAGGCATGGCAGATGTAATTAGTTTATGTTTAGAAAGTATATGGAATTTATAGAGAGTAGGAGGAAGAGAAGAAGTTTTAAAGGAAAACTTTCTTTTTAAAAACTTACGCTTTACCTTTCTCAGGTGTCAATTTGAAAATATTCAAGTTTGATACAGACTGTATGGGGGTTGTTCCAAAAATTTTTCCTCTTAACCAGCACGTCAGGCAGGCTCTATAAGCTGGGCCATGGTGTGTGTTCACCACCTGCAGCATTAGTGAGATAGAAAACTGCTGCAGGGCTGTGGGGTTTTTTTTTTTGTGGTTGCATTCAGCTGTAAGAAAACCAACGCTTCAGATACAGGGGAGATCTGTAGGTTTAGGGTTCTCCACAGTAGAAATTGTTCTGTGAAAGCATTTAGAATGATGATAATCATTATGATGATTATCATGTATATATTGTGTTTCATTATGATGGTTATCATTAGAATGATCATTATCATTAGATAATCATGTGGCTTCTCCCTTCATTAGTTTAATATTAAGCTATTTGAAATATTTTTAAGTGATTAAATAATTAATTGAATTGGGAGAGGTAGTACTGTTGGCATCAGGTGATGTTGCTGTTGACTATATGTACTTGTGTCCCATCCCTTTCTATGCTGAGTAGCAGCTGTTTTCAGAGTTAATGCTGTTAATGTTGTTTTTTCTCTTTTTAGGGCCTCTATGGCAGTGTCATTGTAGCAGGAGGAAACACTCTAATACAGAGTTTCACAGACAGATTGAACAGAGAGCTGTCTCAGAAAACTCCACCGGTAAAGCAGCTCTTTCAATTCCTGCACTGAGTATTTACCATTTTGCTTTTCTGCCACATAAATACACAAGCATGTATGATAGCCTTGACTTTGTTAGGAACCAAACAGCTGAACAGATTTCTGCAGGGTAAGAAATCTCCTTCTCTAAAGAAAAGAAAGAAGTCTTGAAAGGTTTTTATACAAAATAAATTCCAACATTTCTTCAGTATTTTACTGCTCCACTCCTGCTTTCAGATTGTAATCCTAAATTCTGCAATTGTCCTTAAGCAAGTATTTCCCTTGGTGGCCCCTCTTCTGAAGTGTTGTTGACTGACTTGAGGCACATTCAGTCATTCTGCCTGAGATCTTGTCACTTTGTTGTAAGAATTGTTTTTCCTCAATTCTACAGACAACTCAACTTACTCCCAGACAAAAACCTGGTGATTTAACATACTTACATATATTTTTTAATAACTTAATGTCGAAGCATTAACACCTTACACCTGTGTTCTTGAAAGCAGATATAGCTTATGGTATTTCTTAAATTTTTATATATTCAAGGAAAAATGTTCTGCTTGTAACAACTCTGAAATGATGAATGTTAGGAAAAACTGACACTGCTGAGGAGGAGCCCCTTGAATTTGAAAGATTTTACTGCTACAAGGCATTTTGAAAGCAAAAAGAATAAATGGCTCAAAAAAAAATTAGACCAATTAAGTCCAGCAGCATAAGACATTTAGTCCCAGTGCAGTGTTGGAGAGGACAGTATATACTGTGATGTTATTGCTCTCCACCTGCCCTGTTCCTTGCCTTAAGCATTTGCTTCTGCTCCCTGCTGGGAGACAAGGTAAAAGCCACAACGTGTCCTGTCCCCCTGCAGCTGTTCTTGGATTCTAAACAGAGGGTGGATGAGCAGTATTGCAAATGTAATAAAATGGACCTTTTCCACCTGCATTTTGGTATATACCCCAAGTTCTTGTGCTTCTTGTCCCTGAAGATCACCAGCCTACAATTTGTGTGATGATTCTGTTTTGCCCCCTTTCCTGCTCAGAGCATGCGCCTGAAGTTGATCGCGAACAACACGACTGTGGAGCGGAGGTTCAGCTCGTGGATTGGTGGCTCCATTTTGGCTTCTTTGGTTAGTACACCTGTGTTACTGTGTTTCCATGCTAAGCAGAACTGTCACCCAAAAATCTAATTCCCCATGAGTGCATGTTGCAGGGTTTGTGCTAAGGCAGCAATCACAGTCTCCTTGGCCATCCTCATGGTGAGGTGAGGAGGATCTATTTAAAAAACAGATAGGAGCATCTCCAGTGAAAACATGCCTTGCCACATTGTCCCATTTTTAATGGAAAGGTGCAGGCTTGAAATGCAGCCTTTACATGTGTCTAGTAGGCCATGAAAGTAGCAAACATGTTTCTGCATCATATTCTTGAACTTAATTCTACCAGTTACTGAGTGCTGAAATGGTTTGTGGGGATTAATTTATCAGCATGGAAAAGGGAGATTGAAATCAGTATTTGGTACTAGACTTCCTGTGTTGAGTTTAATCCCTGCAAAATAAAAATCAAGGAGAAGACAGTTAAGCAGGTCAAGTCATATTACCTCAATGTAAGGACTTTCTGCTACCTCAATGTAAGGACTTGCTTGTTTTCCTGCCTAGGAAAAGCTAATCATGTTTCAGTTAATCTTGATTTGTTTTCTTATTATTTTTTTTAATTGTGTGTTGGGTTTGTTTCCTTTTTTTTTTTTTAATAGGGTACTTTTCAACAGATGTGGATTTCTAAACAAGAATATGAAGAAGGAGGGAAACAGTGTGTAGAAAGAAAATGTCCTTAAGACCTCTTACTGTGAAAACTGCTGCCTGCTCGGTGCTCCTTCTGTTTTATAGCTTTAGCATACTCAGGAATGGGATGGACTCTTTTTTGTAGAAAGTTTATAATGGGTTTTTTGCATAATTCAAGTTCCATTTTAACAAACCTTAGAAATTTTGAGAGACCTAATTGGTACTATAATAGAAAAAGGATGTTTACATCCCTTGTAAAGCAATAATTCATGTAACAAGCATTTTATAATTTTGTATAAATGTCTATTTTCTCTAGTATCTTTTCCTGGGAACAGCTTTACAGGTTAGCTAATAGATAGAGGCATAACCTTGCAAATGCCTGTGCTTATTTATTAAATATTTCTTGTCTACTTACACATATTAGTCTTCCTTGCTGGTACTTTGGCCTTAAATTGCTCTTAATGCTCTCTTAAAGAAATAAAATTTGGTCTTTTGTATTTGAGGAGCTTTGTGAGTACTTGCAGAGAAAGTTAGTCTGTTGTTTTAAAAGTTGAAAGTTTGTATTCAGTGACGTAGTTGGTTGTAAGCTTTTACTGTCTCACAGAAGTGTTACATTCCATTGAGTGAATGTTATATTAAGCACTGGTTTGCTATTTTTTTGTTAAGGAGCAGTTTCATTTCAGTCAGCAATCACTGCTTTCCACCTGCTTTCTAAGAATGTATTTAATGCCTTTGTGATGTAGGTGAGAAGCAAAACTTGTTCGAGCCAGGGAAATTGAGATAAAAAAATTGCCTCTCCAGTACTTGGGAGAACAGGAATAGAAGCCATCAGGGTGTGGCTTGACATTGCTGCAGGGAGCTGTAACTCCGAGGGGCAGCCCAAGGTCTGGATCCCTTGGGGACTCGCAGCAGGGTCAGTAAGTGCCTGTGTTTGCATGGGGAAGGTGCTCTCAGGGTCACAGCAATGGGGATGATTATTTTTTGTTCAGTAGGAACTGGCTGTGAAGATGCAGCTCAACATTGCTGTTAAGCTAACTTTCATTTACAACTGTGTGGTGGTCTGTTCTGGGACACAGTGAAGTTTTGCTCCTTATCTCAAAAGCTGTGGAAAACCAAATAGCATTTAACTGATCTAAAAAGAATAAACATAAAGTAAACAGTACTGCTGCATTTTTATATCCTAAAAGACCTTGTGGGTAAATATGTGGCCTCTATTTGAAACGTTTCACCTTACCTCCAAACAATAAAGTAATTTATCAAACCAGCTTGCTTGTGTCTTTATCATAACCAGGAGCTGCTCTTGAGATGAAGTTGCTTCACCCAGATTTTCAAAGCTATTGATAAACCACATTTCTCTCTCAAAATGAGACAAACTGCAGACAGCAGCCCTAAGTGATCTAAGTCACCAGCTCTTGTCATTCTGGAAGAGAAAGACTCAGTCTAGTTCATATCTAAGTGGAACATGGAATGTCAGCTGAATTTGTACCTTGGCACCCTGCAGTGAGTGATGCATTTTAAGCTTTCCTTCTGTGACCTGTGCTTAGATTTCATCATGTCAAACCAACTTTTATCTTCTGTGTATCCTAAAAGAATTGCTGTAGGATGGTAATGTCTGTGAATATTCCAGCAGCAGAGGGAGAGCAAAACATTTTGGGGGTTTTCTCACTACTGTAAAGATTTTGTGTTTAGGCAGTGGGTATTTCATGTGATGCAGAGGAGTAACTGAGGGTCAGAATGATGGAGGTAGATACTGATGGGAGACTATGGGTTCCCTTGCAGTGTTTTACCAGAGGATATTGCCGGGCACACTTGCTTCCTAAAAGACTGGTATTTGTGATTTTAGTCTAAATTTCTAAACAACCTCACGAGGAGGTGTAAAAGCTTTCATGAAGTAGGTATTTCCATCCACTGAGAGCAGCTGTGGTACCTTTCTACTTCAGTTTCACAGAAAACTTGCAGTCTTTCTTCAGACGTTTTGCACTCTGCAAAAAAACACTGTACAAGTGTTTGAATTTGTCATAGAAATCTAGGTGTGAGGACCACATTGTTAAAAGTTCCCATGCTGAATATTTTATACTCTTTCAGAAGCCACACATAAGGAGGGGAAAAGTTCAGTCTGCCCTGAGGAAGAGCCTGCTCTCCCATGCATTTATGCAGACAGCAAATGCACCTTGGGTAACTTACCTGTAACTCAGGGAAAATGTTCAGAAAAATATATCAGGAAAAATATGAACAGGGCAAAAGTTTACGTGAGGTTCAGATGCTTTCACGTTTCTGTCTGGTTTTGCATCTTTGTTAAACTAAGCCAGGTAAACACCATCCCTACACTTCATACTGTCACCTGGCACTCCACTGCTGCTCTTCACTGGTGGATGTCTCACAGCTGCTGGCTAACACATTTATCAGATGTTTCTAGAAACAAACGTTATGATTTCATTTAGGCACCAAAGCTGCTTTTTAATTCCAGATCACACGTTTATTTAAGTCAAATGTGGGATTAAAAAAAGAAGGGGGCTCTGGAATGCTCATGGAGTTGTTTGTGGTTTCAGAACATGTTTTGTGTTCAGTCACAGACACCTGACCACTTGCTTGCAGGGCTCTTCCAGCAGGTTACTGGCTCTGAGACTTCAGGGCGAGGTGAGGGAACTTCCTTTCCAAGACCTTCCGCTTCGTCCTCTCCAGGTTTTGCCTTCTTGCCCTTTTCCGTAAGAATTTTTCAAGTCTGAGTCTAAAACAGAGAAGTGGGTGTTGTTAATTAATTTCCACACAGCTTGTGACCACCTTAATGTGCTCACCCCCCTAATCAGACAGAGGCTCTTGGCATTAACAGCCTTAGAATTCATTTGCTTTTGATAAGTAAAAAAGCTTACAAAGCAATTCTTTTTCCCTTCTGCTTCTGAATTCTACAGAATTTACACCTCTGGCAGACGTTTGGTAGTCTGCATGTGAAGTTACTTTTACAGTGCAACTGCATAACCACCTCTCTTAGTAACTAAGGTGGAAACAGAAAAAAGAAACGGAGCAAGCTGTAATTTTAAAAAGCCTCATTTTCAGTCTAGGAGCTATAAAAACAACAAAAGATTACTACTATTTTTCCTTGTAAAGTGGAATAAGGAGGACTGAAAAACAGATCAGAAAATAACCTTCAATGTAAAAAAAAATCTTTTTACCTGATGAACTTATTCACAAAAGGTAAGTAATAGAATCTCTTCTTTTTGTGTCTTTCATTCAAGTGCCATGGTATCGGCCATTCCTTGTAACTGTACCTGTTGGGGACAGATAAAAGGGGTTACAGAATGTATACACTGTCTTCATTCTGGGATTCTACCAGTTTCTCTTGCTTTCAGTACAGTGATAAAGTGGTCTGGTAGAGTGCAGAATTTGTGGGGGGGTATTTATTTCCAGCCCTTGCTGGCTTGGTTTGTAACTGCATCTCCTGTGTAGCTCAGCCTCTTTCTGTACAGAGTAGTCTTGCTTTAAAAACTGTAGATGTTTGAATGCTGGGCCCAGTATAAACAGTCATTATTTGCAATTTTAGTTTAAAGTTACTCCTTCATAAGAAAACTTCCCAAAGCTGATGTGAACAAACAGTGTCCAAAGAGTTTTGTTTCTACTACCATTTTCTTTTAAGTGCTGGTGTTGGAGTGTCCTGTCAAGTGCAAGTCTTCCAGAACATAAGCCTTTCCCCTAAATACAGACTCTTATTTCTGTTCAGGGTTCCTCTTGCACATGGGCTGCACAGATGGTTTGTGCAGACTTAGCTACAGACTCCAGTACATCCAGAGTGTCAGACCTACTACTGTGTGTATTCCAGAGTTTCTGCATGTGCTTAACGAACATTCCATGTTCTCTGCCCCTCCCTGCTTTAACTGGGGACTGGACTTAAAATACATGGCAGTGCCTTCTTTTTTGACAATGTTTCCAGGCAGAAGGAGATTCACAGAAGCCTTATCCCCAGAGACATAAATCTAGTGGTCAGTGCATTCAGTACTCTGCTCATTTACATTTAAGGGGGAAACAAATGGATAACAACTGAAAAGTCACCATTATTGTAACATTTGATCTTGTGTTATCTACACTGTTACTGAAGAGCTGAACACTGTAATTAAGTGCTTCCAATGCCAATATGATGAGGGTGAAATTCTGGTAATGAAATAATAGGTCCTGCCAGAGCCTTCAGCATCATCACCTGAAATTACAGATTACTGAAAGTGTCTGGACAACAAATAATTCAAAAGTTAGAAGCTTCTACCTAACTTAAATATCAAGAGTAGTAGAGAATTTCAAACAGCTGTTTGTACTCTGTTGTCCCTGAATATGTGGATTTTGCATTGTAACTGGGAAAGTCCAGATGGTTCAACTTGAACAGTACTCCCTGGTTCATTCATGTGTAACAGAAAAGGTGTAGTAACAAACATCCTCTGAGTACAGAAATCAAATTAGTTACATGGAACTAATTTTGTTATAATTACTGGTAAAGTTTGCCGATGAATTGTTTAGCAACAATTTTAATCACATTAAAAAAAAAAAAAGCCAAAACTCAAGAAGCACCGGAATGGTGACCAGAAAATACATTTGGTTCTATACCATATATGAATCCTTCCCTGATTAGTTAAGGATTTTCTGGTAGAGACTCACCGCAAAGAAAAATTCACACACAGAAAAAAAAAAGGAAGTTTTCCGTACCAGAAGGTGCGTCCCAAGAAGTCGTGTCTCCACTCTCCAGGAACTGGCTTTTCGTGGCCAGTTTGTAAAAGCCTCAGAGCAACTTCTCTTTCTTTCACAACCAAGTCTATATTTTTCATAGACTTTTCTACCTGGAAATGGTAAATAGTTTCAGGATGGCCCAACAAAAAAGAACGCCAACAATTTAAAAGATCTCAAATAAAGACCTAAGACAAAATTTAAAAGAAAAACAAAGGTAAAACACACTAGTGCTTTAAAAACCTCACTTGAGAGCAGGACAGATAGGAAATAACTGATGGTCTGATGTTTGTTTGAAGACCAGCTGGCTAATCCAGAAAGCTCTGAGGCAGGGGTGGGGAGGAGGCAAGGGAAGCAAGCAGAAGGTTTGCTGTGTGTATTTCTGTCAGGTCATTTGTACTGGCTGTTTGTTATTTTAGTTTTCACTGTGGAGTCTGGTCCCAGCCCCAGTAACGCCCACTGGTTGATGAGAAAGCTGCTGTGACCAAAATATGACTTGAGCAGTGTTTGTGCATACACTAAAATCAGGAATAATGTAAAGAAAAGGTCTTTAACAAGTTTACAAACACTTCATCTTTCACTGAGCTATTTTACTTAAGAGTTGTATTTTTATGTAGCATGAACAAATCACCTTTTCTAACCGTTCTGGACTTGGCATAGGCTTGAGTTGTCGTTTTGCTTCTTGCTGTATAGTTAAAAGCATGTTTCTTTCTTTCAGCAGGACATACCTAGGTCAGAGAACACAGTAACTCAAAACCAACTTCTGGACACCTTAGCAGTTATTCACTTACTATCCTGTTGGATAGAGCACAGTAAAATCCCATCTCCTACCTGCTGGCTTTATATGAAGAAGAAAAAAGGTACTGAGCAATTGGAGAAAGCCCAGTAGAGGTGGGGAGGGGAGGGCAGACACACAAGGAGAGGATGAGGGAGACAGGTTTACTTAGCTTGGAATAAAGAAGGCTTGGGAGGGAAGACAACACTAAGTTGTCTTCCCCTACCTGGACAGAGCCAGATTCTTCTTACAGGTGCACAGCAAAAGGACAGCATGGAAAAAACTCTTCACAGTAATGATTAAGTGCTATTTTAGCCCTGGCACTGCCTGGAGTGGTGATACAACCTCCAGCCTCAGAGAACTGTCAGGATCAGAATAAACACAGACCTGAGCACCCTGATCTAACACAGTGTCTTGGCCCCACCAAGGAACTTAAAACCAACTCTGTCCAATTCAAACAACCCAGAGGGTTCAGATTCAGCATCTTCATACCAAACCTTTGTCCCAGACACAACTATCCCACAGCCAGCTGCAGTAGAGCTTCTGTGTTCCAAGCAGGGCCAGAACTGGGGCTGTTCCAAGCCTAAAGCAGGCTGGAGCCTGCAGAGCTGGGTGGCAGACTGAAGTCACTGGCTCATAAGTTCACCAGCCACATTTCAATAAAAAGTGCAGAGCTTCTCTGAAAGAAGGGAACCTTCTTCACTAAAACTTACCAAAGTTTGTGCAAGTCTTCACTACTCTTGCCCCTCAGCTGTTTTATATTCCATGCATCCCCTGTAAAA